GACTCAAAGTGCTCAGAGAAAGGTCCCAAAATATCACATTCCCAAATAACTAACTGAAGAAAAGGAATTAGGAGGCGGGTGATCCAAATCGGACTCGGCACAAGACAACTTAGTAAAGAACAGCATCAGAAAAACCAGGATCAACAAAAAAAACAACTTCAGATGTCCCAGGAGAAAACATCCCCGGGCTGAATGTATGTCTCCATCTCCCAATGGATCAAAACACGGACAGCCTCAACTGAGAGTGACCCCCTTCCCCCAACCATAAAGAGATGCTAAATGACAAAGGAGGAATATAGGAGGTCATATTAACCGCCATGCTGACAACAGTAATATGGGAATTCATACCCGCAACATAATGTTTCGTTTGTTTTTTTTGAAGAAAGTATAATTACACAGAAATCCTCAAGGGGATATGAAAATCGCAATCCAGAGTGGAACAAACCACAGCATTTTGTCAGAAAAACCATGACCAACGCTTTGTAGGGAAAAAGTGATTACATTATCTGAGTGAGGTGCTTATATACAGTGTCAGCATAGAGGGCACACTGACGTAGGTGGATGGATTTGCAAATTAGGTATCGCCAAGGGCATTTAAGTGGGGTATAAAAGACTGGAGCATGCTTGACCAATGCTTAGATTGGCAAAGCGAATGTCAAAGAATAGCTAAAGTAGTAGCAGAAGGTAAGTATGTTTTGGCATTATTAGAATTTTGTGTATCAGTATTAAATTGGATAGCAATTTTTATCAATTCATGAAATGATTATGAAAATTATTTGAAGTGATATAAAATGATGAGTTATAGTAATTGTTCATGTTGTAATTTCAAGAACATTTTAATTCAAATTAAACAACAATACACAAAGTAACCACAGTTTTAAACTAAATTATTCATCATTATTTAAACTAGTTAGTTGCTAAGAAATGTTGCCCTAAAAAACTTCATATAACTTTAGATGGAAAAGTTTATGCTGCTAAATATTTTATTCACCTACTTTTTCTAATTACAAAAAGTTTAAAACCATTCAGCTTTCCAAAAAGTTCAAGTTAAATAACAAAATAGAAACTGACTTTTAAAATGTGGAATACATTTTTTTCATATTTTATTACAAAAGATACAGTGAAATGTTATGTTTCAGGACTTACAAAAATTATATACTTTTAAAATACCTTTGAAGCATTACTATAAATATAATGTTTCACATAAGAGCAAACTGGTGTCTACTTCAAAACATAATATAAAATTGGACAGACACAAAAGAAAACCTAATGAAAAAGTTTTGATGAAAAAAACTGTATTGATTTTGTAGTGTTTATGTAATTTTTTAACCTTTTACACATACTGACCTGGAGTTTTTCAAGATCTTTCTCAACAACCAAAAATGCTAAATATGCCTCTCAAGCGAAAGAACATTTTCCTATCCAAGTATTAAAAAAAGTCAAAATAATTGAACAGAAAGGGGAAATTTAGGTGTACACTGCCTACTGAATTGATTCAAATTTTAAATCTAGTTATTTAGTCTTAGTAATATAAGTTAACCATGGGAAAAATCTGCAATACTTGTTAGGTAAATTTCTATGATAATCAGTAGAAACATTTTTCATAAATAACTTTTTATTACTTTACAGGATACAGTATTTAAATTAAATTTGGATACAAATTTTTATACAGTAGAAGATATTTTATCATATTGCTGTTTGTAAAATATGATATCAAAATTTAAATTAACTTATAAATCATTTAGTCACACTATTTAATAAACATTGTTTTAACTCCACACTTTTATAAATGTGAAACATATTAAGCCAGTACTTACCTGATCAGATAGCCCAATTCTTTCTCCATTTATAAGAGTCAATACTTTATTGTCATCCATCACAGAGTTCATACTTTCAATCCAAAGTGTGTCTACAGGACCATCAAAAATAATCCATTTTTCATCAAGTTTTTCATCTACACAAGTCATCCTGATTACTGATGAAAGGACACCATCCATCCATTCACCACTCTTCGCATCAAATTCTCCAAAGAGTTCCCCTAGTGAGAGTGCTTTAGGGTTCATAGGAAATTCCTAATTGTGTTTATTGTTTTGGAAGAAAGGAAAATATATGAAAAAATTTAATTATAATATATTTAAGATACAGTGCATTATTTATGACAGTTTAGTATCAGGAAACAACTGTCTGTCAGTTAACATCACAAAACTACATGATTTCTCTAAGGATAATTCAGTGTAAAAAGGCATTAGACCAGCTAACATCATGCAGATACCTATGTGTTGACATTTCAGACATTCTTTCTAACAGTTTGTAAGTAATTAATCAAGCATTAACTGACTTTGATCAAACAATATATACTATAAAACTTATCCTATGGCTTCAAATGATAGACGAAAGGAAAATATTTATTAGTTTACCATGATAAGTTTTGAAAACACACAAGACTATTGATAATGATTTAAGATAATTTTTTTTGTGTATGATAATTTTAATTCTATTATTGTCTGTATGGGTAGAAAAATATATCTTTATATCATACAAAATATTTTTTTCTTTTCAATGTTTGGTTACCCATATTTTGTCACCAAAAAGTAAGATCAAACCTGGAATCTCTTGCATGCAAGCAATTGCTGGAGCAACCAAGCTACAATTTTAACACACTTGCATTCACTAGTAAGGCACTTTTTAAAAACTTAACCACATTCTTCCCCTCTCATAATCAACATCCATCCTTGGACCTTATTTCAGGCTCTTGGGATTATCACTACTTTTTCTGTAGTAATCTGTATTACGTGTCACCTATGAGTAGGATTGAACTCAGAACTTCTCATACACTAGACAAGTGCTCTGCAAGTTAAGGGTACAGAGCTAAAAGGTTAATCCACAAGCAATTTCTAGGAGTGCTAGCACCAGCCTCTTTCCACTGAAGAGTGGGGGCTGAGGTGAGCTATACAAAAGATTGAGGGGCTGTACTTTACATATTATGAGCTCACATACTATAGTGTTTCTAGAGTGAAAAAATTAAATTTTACATTGTGTGTGAGGGCTAAAGGGAAGGTTAAGACATGTTTTGGAATAGCTTCAGCTCCAGCATTACCCTTTATTTCTAATAAGACATTTTTTTAAGAAGTTAAGCTACCCCAAATTCATTTTAGTCCTAAGTTTTTTATAAAAGGTATGTGAAATGAAAGAAAAGATAATAATTAGTTTAATCAATGTACAAACCTTAACAATGTTAAATGCTAATTCTCCATCTTTTTTCAAGGTATTGAAGGCTGCTTGTAATGTACGCCAAAGAACAGTTTTCCCACTGCAAGATTCTCCAATTAAGATGACAGCATGTCGAGAGTTCTTTGTCTCATAAAATTGTAATACCTTCATTACAGAACTTTGAATCACTTGTAATTTGGCTTGTTTCATTACTCTTTCAATAGCTTCCTTCAGCTGAAAATAAAAATAAGTTGTGATATACTTAAAATTTAAAAAATCTATGAGATTTGTGTGCTTGCATATATATAAGTTATTCTTATATATATATATAACAATAGTTTATTTTATAATAGTTAGATAAATGCTTTAATTCCTCTTTAATGTAAGCGCTATATCCTAAGGTGAACTCTACAGATATTAATGATAGTTCTGATCTTATCATGGATTGAGTTACAAAACAAAAACTAAAAAATAAAATAAAATACAAATAAAAGATAAATATTAACAATTAAGAAATAGTACTAGTAGTACTAGCATGAGGGAGCAATACTCCTCCTCTCCATGAATCACTTTCAGGAACAGCTTTTAGAAATGTGTAACAAACAGCTTTATAAAGAAAATTATAAAGAAATATACACAGATATCCAAATGTTCATCTGATAACTACCTGTCATGTTTTATTTTAAGTTATATTGCAAATTATTGTTTGTTTTTGTTTTTTGTTAATTTTGTGCAAAGCTACAAGAGGCCTATCTGCACTAGCCATCCCTAATTTAGCAGTGTAAGACTAGAGGGAAGGCAGCTAGTCATCACCACCCACTGCTAACTCTTGGGCTACTCTTTTACCAATGAATAATGGTATTGACCGTCACATTATAATGCCTCCATGACTGAAAGGGCGAGCATGTTTGGTGGGATGGGGATTCGAACCCACGACCCTCAGATTGTGAGTCGAGCACCCTAACCATCTGGCCATACCAGACCAAGTGCAAATTAAGAAATATAATTTTAAAACTTAACATAAGAATTTCCCAAATCACATACTTCAGATATTTAAGTTACATGTTTTTATATTTCTGAGTGAGTTTAAATGAAATTTTTTAGTTAATGTAAATCTTATCGTAAACCTGCAACAATGTTTACCAATGTTACATCTGTAATGACAGATGGGATGATCTAATGAATTTTAAAACATTTTTTTTACTTTCTAATAGTGTAAATAATGTGATGGATGTCATAGAGTGCACAACTTAATTTCTCAATTGGCTATTTATTCTGTTTACATTTATTCCAGGAATGCTTTTTAGAAGGATCATGTTGTTCTTGGGCTTAAGAGAGATTTTCAAAACAGTGAAATGAGGCTCTTTCTTATTACTTAATTCTCTCACTTCCAGAAGAAAATGTATGGGACATACTATATAACCACATGTGAGTTTGGAATTTTGTACCACTACATGAAAGGTATAAAGGGTATACTCCTTCAAATTTCCCAGAGTTTACCAGTTTCAGGTTTCTGATTAGGCAACGAAATATTAACACCCAGTCTGCAAGAGAATGAGACTGAATTCAGAGGACAGGATGGGCTATAGAGATGTCACAGTTTCTAGTTATTCGAGTTAAAACTAATAAAAAAAAGTGCTCCAAAAAAGGGCTTAATTTGTTAAGCTAAAAAAAACACTTTACCATCAAATTAACTCTCCTATCAATAGTGTTCAGCCATATAATACATATCTATACACACATAAATTAAAGAAATTTTTCACTGACCTTGCCATAACTAACAGTGCAAGGTTCTATACTGGGAAAAAGATCACATGTTATTCCATTAAAAAGCGGGATATCTTCTGATGTAAGCTTTGGGATGTTCATGTCTTGTATAGCAAGAATTAACACCTAAAATATAGTAAATAGCATAATACTGTGATATTCTGGCACACTTATGTACAACTGAAAAGTACTAAGATAAGCAGTAGATTTAGGTTATTATTTTGTGAAAGAATATAATTAACATGGACAACAAAAGAAAAGATTTGAACATAAGTATACAAACACAAAGGAAAAGTTGAATGCAAGTGTACAAACAAGGATAACAATTTCTATTTTATACACTTTATAAACTCAAAGAATACTGTGTTTTTTAATATACCAGCTACAATACTACCAGATTCAATTTGCATTAACATAGCTTCTCTATCTGTTGAAATTGAAAAAAATCTACAATAAAGAGTGAAGCAAGAACCATGATATATTGCTCTGTTAAGTTAGGTTGAAGGTTCCTAGGCTGATATCCTACAACCTTATGTTACTTATATCAGTAAACACTTTCATCATATATGTGTTCATGAGAAGAGTAAACCCAGCTCATACTAACTTGTAAAAACCTCTATACCACCACTCCACTTGGATATGACCCACACCTTAGGGTTAAAAAGATGGAGAAGCATGACAAAGCAAATATATGCTCTATGAAGTGTAACCTTTAAGTGAAGATTAATACAAATTTAAGTTATACAAGTTTTTCAACTGTTATAGTATTACCACAAAACATCTTTATTGATTATTACAAGTACATAAAAATTCCTGTATCTAAAACCTTATTGCAACCCTATCAAAATATTTGTTTCCATAAAACCGAGATTTTGTACATTACCACAAATTTTTAAAAAATGTTTATTCAAACATTTTTTTTAAATATAAATATAATTACTATTCAAGATTAAAATAATAAATAATTTTATTATTAAAAGTTATTATTCTCTTTTCTAATTCAATAAGCTGAAAAATGCAATCAGCTTGATATAATTGGATATTTTACAAGAAACTTCATAAAAAATATCCATCTGGCAACTTACAGGTATTTAAATTCATACTTCTTTGACATAATTACTTATATAGAAAATGTAACTTAATTTACTCAAGAATTGAAGGTATCTTAATAATAATACATAACTTACAATCATACAAACACATATAGAATGACATATATGTATAAAAATGATCAAAGGGAAATGGAATATTTCAAATATGCCCTTACCTCTTCATCTGTTGAATTAGGATAGCTTCTTCTTCGTTTTCCTGCATGTCGTAACACAGATACTAATCCTCTCAAACCAAAGTCATAGTGGTACTGCTTAGATAATTGTTGAGTAGCCAGTGAATACAAGGTAACTACTTTTTTTGCAAGTAGCTGTTACCAAGACAAAAATATCATAAATATAAGTAACTAGTGTTTGGATATTACATTATGTCTTGTCATACAAATAAAGAGTTTGCAATATTAAATATGTAACTAAAATTTCTGAATTATGATTGAAAACTAAGTAACTGATATGTTACAATGATAAGAAATGGCTGTAGTGGGTATCGAATAGTGTTTGATATGCTAAAAAATTAATATACTGTCTATATATCCTTCTGTTCATAAAAAAATTGTTTTATTTAATGTGAAAATGTGTTTAATTAGTATGTTAGTAAACCATAAGACTATTCAATTAATCAAAAACTTTCAAAGAAGAAAAATAATTTTGTTTTTACTTTAATATTAAAATAAACTAATTTTAATGGAAAATACACCAAATCTAACAAAATTATTCAGTATAAATTTTACACTGTTTAAAAGATTAATTAAAAAATCTACAATTCTTTAAGTTTTATAAAAAAACATTTGTTCATTACCACAAAATTAAAACTTCAATGATCTTTACCTTAGTGTTGCTGAAACCTTCAGCAAACAAGAATATTTCTGCTATCATGGCAGAGTCAGGAACCACCATAGCTATTGGTCGAAACATTGATTTCAAGTTTTCTGGCAGCTCGGTGCGACCAGCATAGCCTTGTTCAATGCAAATAGCAGTACATAATATCAGTTAATTTAAAGTTCTGGGCATTACTGAACAAAATAACTATTTGCTGATAGAATAAAAATATGTGCATCAACAGTAAGGTTTTAGCATTTGGATTTGTACAGTTCAAAGAAGAGTGAATACTCAAGAAACAGTCTTTAAATTTGGTATTCTAGTTAGAGAATAGTAGTACTCACACAAATATTTAGATCCAATTAGTAGATGGTAAAAACAGATGAAAAAGATGAAGTGGCAAGTTGTTTATAACACAAAGAAAACAATTTACCTTGTACTGATTTTTAAGTATACATCATGTTACTGTAATAAATGATAAACAAACAGAACTCAATTTAAAAAATAAAAGCTTGATTTATAAACTGTGGCATTTAACTTAAGAGATTAGAAATTAAACCTTTTCTAAGCACGAGAAGTAATAGCATTTTTACCACAACCAATTATTTAGATTTATTTTAGATAGTTATTGCCCATCTCAGGCATAATAAGTTTATCACAGTTAGAGATGCAGTGGCATTGTTAGCTGGTTGTTCAGCTTTGGTTGTACATTTCAAATTAGGAGCATTTCCTTTTTTCCTTAATGTCCATTCATCTGTCACTGAGTCTATTATCTTGAAGTGTTCAATGTTGGGCTTTTTATAGCAGTTTTTGTTTATTTGGTTGTAAATTCCAGAGTTGTTGAAAGAGCTGTTTTGTGCATGCTTCTTGACTGGGGTTCATGTCACTGATCCAAGGCAGCCATGCCAACAGCATAGACACATGTATTGATACACCCCCAGCAATCTTTCTGAAGGAGGTACTTTGTCTTTGAAGAGCAAAAAAAAAATAATATCTGTTTGTTTCGTTTGAAGATCACTCTCAGGCTGATTTGGGGATAAGTTGACTGCAGAATGTTCTTCATTTTTCTTTTTAGTTTGATGCCATGAGAACCAGTGAAGGGTAACATCAAGGTGATAGGACATTTGGAAACATTGAAGTCTGGAATCTTAGGGTTGTAAGATTTATTAATATATTCAAAAACACTTTTGTTGATAAATGCTAGAGGGGAAAACATTTTTAATGAAGTATTTTTTTCATACTCATTACTTCATTATGAAAATTGCAATAACAGCTAATAAGTTTATACACTATATGAATTAGAATGCTTCTTAAATTAATTTTGTAACAATCAGGTATGAATGTGCTGAAATGACAGTACAGACTAGAAAATGTTGGTTTGATGTAGTATCTGGTTTTAAACCTGTTGTTCAGGTTAATGAACTCTAGATCTAAAAAAGGTAATTTAGATTCTTTTTGTTCTTCAACTGTAAACTTGATATTCCTGTGTTTAGAATGTATATTATCTGAAATTCTTTGACATGACTCTTTTCTCTGAATACAATAAAAGTGTTATCAACAAATCCCCTATACATTAAAAGCTTAAATTTGGATGGACATACCTGTAATCAGTTAATATTGTGATAAACTTATCATGCATGAGATAGGTAAAGAGTAAAAACTTCATCACACAATAATTTAATGTAGAATTAGACTATTTTCCTCTCTTGTGAATTTGAACTAGAAAATGATATGTAAACCTTTAATATACAACATTCCCATGTGAAAATCAGGTCAGCATGATATGGCGCATCATAGGCTACAACCCCAGTGTTAAGTATCACATAATTATTACTTGACATAAACTAACAAATTAAAAAAAAATTGTATTATTATACACCACTATAAAAGCAAATTAACAAACACAAACTTATAAGCATATTGAAGTGATTTTTATTTTGGGGAACATACTATATGTTTTGAAAGACATTGGTCTGTCTTCTTCAGATATCAATCCTTCTGTGAAATTGCAACAGAAAATGAAATGCAAGCCCTCAATATATGAAACTCGTTTGTGAAAATCAAATCAGCATGAAATGGCACATATTACATAGGCTACAACCCTAGTGTTACATATCACATAATTACCATGCAACATATAGTACCCAATGTTCTGTCAAAACATATAGTATGTTCTCCAAAATAAAACCACTTCATTATGCTTATAAATAATTGTTTGCCAATTTATTATTATATTATCATAATGTGCTTCCATACATTAGTATACCTCCCTATACTTCCACATTTCTCTAATAAAAAGGATGTTTTTATATTAGAAACTAGAAATAAAAAACTATCTTTAAAGCCATTTCTAGAAAGCAGTATAAAAATTATTATATTTTACCTACAGTAAGTTTTAAAAAAAATTGAAGATGGTTCACATTTCATATCTTTTTTGGGAAAATAATATTATTTTGGATATTAAGCTTATTTAAATTTTTTCTTGTCTTTTTATTTATAATTTACATTTACATACATTTTAAAATCAATAAGTCAAATTGAAGATGGTACATGGACACAAAAAATTAAACCTAATGTAAATGGGTCATCAAAAGAAAAACATAAAACTCAATACCTACTTTTTAACTAAACACAAAGAAGATAAAAGATGACTAGCTTGCTTCTTAAACTGTAGCTTTTAACTTAAGAAATTAGAAATTTAATTACTTAAGAATCCAAAAAGCAGTAAAATTTTTACAGCAGAACAAGTACCACAATAATTTCATGTGTTATTAGACTATCAGCTTTCACATGAAATTGAAAATCGCACTTATAAATTTTCTGATTTATTCAAATGCACTACATTAAGCGAACTAGAATTTACAGCCTCTATGGAAACAAAGTAGTCTATACTGTCTTTATATATGCATATATTATTTTGTACTTATCAAGAAAATTAATTGAGTAGTAGATGCATAATAATTTCAATAATGTCTTTTTGTAATTGAAAAATGAAGATTATCTTAACAATTCTGTACATATTGTTCAGTAATTTATGTCACAATCTTCTTTCTTACCTGGATTCATCGTAATAAAGATACCACAAGTCTTCAAGAGATTGATTTCTTGGCCTTCAAACATAAATCTCTTGACTTTAGCTGCTAGTGCTGATAAAAGTGAAAGAATCTGCTGAGCAACTACAGACAAAACTTCAATATTTATACGATTGAACTCATCAAAACATCCCCAAGCTCCAGTCTAAAAGTAAAACAGAAAATACAGGATGAAATTTTGAATAAGAAAAACGACAAAGGAAAAAGAAATCAAGCAAGTTGAAGTTGTTATTTCTTTTAATATTATATAGACATATTCTATTTATACATGTGGCAAAAAATGTTATGTAAATAAAGCATAAATGTTGTTTTATATAGAGAAACTTAATGATTAAGCTTCATTTTTTACTTGATATATATATATATATATATATATTGAAATGAGCTTAATATATCAATGTGGCTTTAATTCTAGAAACAAATTCATACTTAGTATTAAAGGCAGTATTCAAATTTTCTAACATATGAAATAAAATAACTTATTATTTTTCCTTTTATAGCTTATATTTCCACAAAATTGATTAGCTTGGTTTTATATCTTAATACTGTGTACTACACTTCAATTTCAGTAGGCAGACACAATAAAAATTTATTCACCACGTAAACCATATTTTTTATATTGTACTGCAAGAAAAGCACAATATTCAAAGAAAAAGTTCCTTCCAGCTATCAAAAGTGACAGTAATGATTAGATATTCAATAATAAATGGAAAATTAAATTGCACTACAATAAACAAGGATTCTGTTTCTAATTTTCTACATAAAAGAAGTTCATACTGCAACTGTGTAATTAGAAAAATGTATTAATTTTATTACTAAATCAAGAAGGAGATTCTTATTAATTTTCATGTTTAATAATGAAAACAATTAAGAAATAGATGACCAACCTGTGCTAAGCCAGCAAACATCCTGCCCATGGATTTGTAATCCAGGCCCTCTGAGCAATTGATGACAATAACATAATTACCTAGAGTTTTACCCAACTCTTTTACTGTTTCAGTCTTTCCTGTCCCAGCTGGACCTTTTGGACTCCCACCACAATGCAAGTTTAGTGCTGTTGTCAAGGTCATGTAGCACCTAAGTAAAATGTTAAGGTTTTCAAAAGTAATTATTAATGTTTTTCTACAAGACTTTGCAACATATTTTACAGAATTAGATGTAAAACTAGCATAGACCTCCAAATATAGCTTTTAAAAAGTCATAATAGCAAATTATCTCAGATATATTCTACATGAAATATTGTAAACAAGTTCAAGGAAATTTCATATGATATAGCTGTTAATCTCATACCATTTAACAAAGTTTTATTTATGTATTAAATATCTAAAAGAAAAAACAAAAGTACTTTTTGAAACAGAAGAAGAAGAACTCACAAGTTTATATAATTTGTGACAGAACAATCTTAACTTACCTATCTGTGAGTGGCGTGATTACTAATCTTTGAGGATTTCCTAAATATTCATAACCATAAAGAAATTTGGCATTTGTCTGACATATAAGACAGTCTTCAAGATCTTTATCCCAGTAAAATCGTAGCTGGCTAACCCAGTTAAAGTCAGTTAAGTCAAAACAGCCCATTTTGAGCATGCTGTCGATGATATCTCGAGCATGCACCTCAATGGTAACAAGTGCCATCACTTTTTGCAGCATCAAAGAAGACAGGTTACTTCGAACCATCTCAGACAACTTCTCCAAAACAGCAACCTGTGGAAGAATTGTTTGTTTGTTTTAGAGTAAAGCCACATTAGGTTATCTGCTATGTCCACTTTGGAGAATCAAACCCCAGATTTTAGTGTTGTAAGTCTGTAAACTTACAGCTGTCCCACCAGGGGAGTGTGGAAGAATAAAATATCACAAGATATGAAGTGAGACATAATATACATCCTTTTTTTTAAGCTAATGATTAACTACAGCATTGAAATTTTCCAAAATTTCAACTTAGCTTGTACTGTTTCAGTGCAAACATGTACACAAAGTCTATGATGTAGGTTTCAAACCTAAACACCTTACAAGATAAAAATATGCTAACTAAAATTGCAGACCAGCCTGGTTACTTCTAATATATCTTGATAACATTGATTAAATCTGTAAAAATAAGAGAAATAAATTACTTATAACTAGGCAGTTCCAATTTTAAGAACAACTTTAGCCAGTAGAACCACAAGAAATATATAGTTAACCACAAGGCGAAAAGATATCAAAATTAAAAAATAAGCTGTAAGCTGTACGATCTGACAAAGAGCATTAGCTTGAAACGCCGTATTCTTCAAATCAGTAAAAACACAAAACCAGACAGTTTTAGTATCTAACTTTTATTGCATTTTGTGCCTATTAACTCCCATATTTTTAAATGATGATTATGTAATTTTTTTCTTTAGAAAAAAACCCTTCAGTACCTGCTTTCGCCTCAGACTTTTCAGAGGTTTCTTTCCACGTTCTTTAGCTTGTTGCAATGCTCTACTACAGTCACCTGTCCATTGTATTTGGCTGGCAGCAATACATAACTGTCCAGGCCATTCACGTATCCATTTGTCTGTTTTTCCTTCTGATGCAATGTTACTTGCTCCTGCCATGTGCTTCCTCAGGGACTGACGACAGTTTTGAAGTGTTTGATGGAGAGTCTTTCTCATGGTTTTCTCCACTTCCAGCAGCCAGGCTTCCACTGACCCCTCTAAAGGTAAAGGATTGATAAAGTCCACATATTCACCATCAGAAGATTTCATTCCTAGGGCTTCTGGTTGCTGTGTTAAGGCTGCCTGTTGATGTTTGAAATAAAATATAAAATTAGATGACCAAAAATATTTTGTGAAATACGTCTTAGTGATAATTACTATATTATAATGATTTAAATCTAAATTCAGTCATTTTAAAAAGTCTCAGAACACCACAAATTAAGTTCTCAATTTTCACGAACCAATTTGATTTTGGATTTATGCCTTTCTTGTTACAGGGTCTCTAATAACTTGTACGTCAACAAGCAATTTAATAAAAATACCACCAATATTGAAAGTAATCTTGTTAATTACTGATTGAATCCTCTATGTATTTTACATACAAGAAAAGTAAAAGTTAACAAACCTTGAGTCTCCCATATCAAATTACGTGGTTCCATATGATATTTCTGTACTGTTGCATGCAAATAAGCATGTAACAAACCTCCACCAATAGGAGTGTGACACACCCTCTTAGTGTAGCGGACTCTCCTACATTGATTGTTCAATCATCACTTCGATGATCATACAAGAAAAGATGCACTGTAAGTGAAGAGGACAGGTGGGAAGTGGAAACACAGGTATTTATTAGAAATACATTTTCAATGATATGATATGATACATAACCTCTTCTCAAATATAGATAGAATCCCATGTTGAAATGGTTGAGGGATCGGAGCAAAAGTTTACCTAGATGAGCCTCCTTCGAGAGTGCCCCAAAGAAACCCATGGAATGTGACAACCTGAACCATGGAATAGTATAAGGGCATCATCGTGGGAGACTACACTTCTTCTGCACCAGGCTACACTCATAATCTATAAAGGAGGGATGTATTACTAGCACAGGTGGAAAATACAAGCACCGTCCAGAACCTACACCAGGCTCAAAGAAGTTCTATGTGCGTAGTGTGGCTATAACATGTCAGACCATATGTGGTAGGTCAACGCCAGTCCAAAACCAGGCAGCATTGAGTACTGTTCGTCTGATCCATCTTCACCTTAATCCTAGTGAAGAAGAATGGAAGAATGCAGGAAGAATTGGTGGCATACACATCAGAATGTTGATAACCACAGGTAAAAAGGAGGAGAAAATAGGCTTTAATTGAGAGACGGTATAAGGAACAGGAAGCCAAAGGTACAAACAGAGGTAGGATAAGGGCAAAGAAGAACAACATTTAGATCCAAGTATGAAAGACATGAAAGATGGGGAGGAGGATGGTGGTGAAAGGAACAGAAGAGCATAGTGAGGACCAGGGAGGAAAAAACTAAACAATAACTGGAAGACTAGAAAGTATTAGAGAGAGTCCCTGTGCAACCAGAAAAGGTCGATACTGATAAACCCTGCAAAAAGTGAAGTGAAGAATTCAGAGATGGGAATCAGAAGGACAAGAAGAGGAGAAAGAATGATGCAGTGACCAATTGTGAAAAGTACACCATTTCCACTGATAAACAAGAATGGAGATGGGCAAACAGAATGAAAAAGAAGAACAGTTACACACAAAGAGAGACTGGAAGATCTTGCAAGGGACCAGACAAATTCCATTTCTGAATTCAGTGGTGATATTGCTGGATAGAAGAGAGAGGAATAAGGCTAAAGAAGATGAGAACAGGATAGAGAACATGGGAAAGAACAAGAGGGAGGAGACAAATAGGGGTAAGCATAGAGAAAGAAGTTGGACAAGTCCTAACTGAATGTATCCCCTGCCAGAGCCAATGGATGCAGAATAAAAGACCAGAAAAAGCAAATATTGGTGGTGCGTTAAGTAGCAAAGGCAACAATAAGAGTGGTGCCCAAACAAGAACAAAGTCACTAGAAAATCTGAGGCTTGAGTGACAACTCCATAGGAAAAAATATTGTTGTGTCCCAAGAGAAGAACTGTGACAAGGTTCAAGGTACCTGGAACATAACAAGCCATCAGTCAGACTTGTAAAGAATGGACCAAGAAAAGAGAGTTGAGGGTGTGGAAACAGAGAGAGTGGAACCAAAAGCCTCCTGGCACTTAATATTGGTAAACCACAGTTAAGTTGTCTGTATGGATCATAAATAAATGGCTACATACAACTATAATAAAATGATCCAAAGCTCAACTAACTTCCAAGAGTTACAACAGATTGATAAAAAGGGTCAATTCATCTGGAGATCATCAACCTAAAACCACCAGAGAGTTGACACTAGTGTTCTACCCTGTCAGAGAAGCATCTGTAAAATGGAGGAGATCTGAATGAGAGAGAGAAAAAGGAACACCTCCCATGGCATTGGCTCTGTTGAGCCAACAGGTGAAAGTGGTGTGTAGGGAAGGAGGAAGCTGAATGAGGAAGGACAAGGGATTCAAAAAGAGATTCATTGATAGTGCACAGTCCACTGCATATGGAGCACGTGAAAAAGAGAGAATATCCCACACAGGGTGAGAACAGAGGAAACTAAATGCTCCATGTTCCTCATATGTAGAGGAGAAGGCTGGGCTCTGCTGTGATGAGAATTGAAGAACACATACAAAAGAACCAGAAATGGAATGGGTATGATGTGAGACTTCTCTGGCTTTACTAACCAACCAAGAAAGGATGCCTCCTGAAAAAGGAGAAGAATATGATTGTAGGAAGCCTATTAGGAAAGATGTTTTTTTTGTTTGTTTGTTTTTTGAATTTCGTCGCAAAGACTACACGAGGGCGTATCTGCACTAGCCGTCCCTAATTTAGCAGTGTAAGACTAGAGGGAAGGACAGCT